TCAGCGTTAGGCGATTTTCGAGAAAACTACTAACGTCCTCCGTCCTTCTTCCTCCATCGGATTACGGCTTGTGGATTGCCCGGTACCCAGCAGCGGAACTGGGCCGGATCTCCCTCGTTGACGGTCTGGTCGACAGGGTCTACCTGTGGCGCTGTGGGTGCTGAAGTAACTTCATTATATGGGGGAATGGAACTTTCAACGATTGCCAGAACGTACCTTCCGGCTCGCGAACATGAAGTGTAGCAGGGTCCGAATCTTGTGGCCTTCTATCCCTTGGGTCTGTAGCAGTACATACATACTGACCGGCTTCCTGAAATAGCGATAATTGAATGCATAATTGAGGAATTCTATAATCTTTCCCAGGTAGTTCTGAAAGTTGCCAGAAGAGTCAAAGGCCCGGGTTCAACTCTGAGACGTAAGAGTAGTTCTGGCCGGATTGAGGTGGTAACACCTTCAACCGTAGCCAAGCCTTAGAGTTAGATAAATGCACAAATTAGGGGCTTTCTGTTTCCTGGGCTTGAAAGGGAAGAAATATCTCCAGCCAACATCGGCCTGGCGCTTACAATACAGAAGTCCTTGTCAGCCTATCCAACTATCACAAGATAATGCTTTGGATACTTATTGATCACTTTTGGAACTAATAGTTCGGAAGGAGCTAGGCGAGCGATAGACGCTGAATAGCGGAACTGCCTAGTTTTTAGAGAATGACAAAGGATATACTCGCCATCACGGTGTACGCTACGCGACCGCACGCCAGGTACCCACGAAATAAGCCGTGCTTTCTTGACGCTCGGGGTGGAACCACGGATCGAGGGAAAGGAATACATCTGCTCTTGGGTCAACTACCACGTAAGCAGACAGATAGAATCAACTTCGTGAATTGAGTTCAACTACCACGTAAGCAGACAGATAGAATCAACTTCGTGAATTGAGTTCGGATTGAATTGAAGGATACTTACGTGTTGGGAAGCCCGCGGGATATGCAGAATACCCTGATGTTCTTGTACTGACGCTGGCAGAGGTTGATGTCCTATACGATGCCATTTCAATTCAGCTTCTGGGTTACCAGGAACCCAACATCTGAATCTGGCTGGTTCTCCATCATTTACTGTCTGTTCAACTGGATCAATTTTCGGGCGTTGAGCTGCTGAAAGGATGAGATGGTGGGCGAGGGACAGTACTGGACAGGTCCAGGTGGCAGGATTGGACTTACGTCTAACGACATCCAATCGTGCAGGTGGTGACTGCCCGATACCAAAATCGTTCACTGCTGTGCAGACGTAGTTTCCTGCATCATGAAGCTGAGCTCTCGGTATCTAAAATGATAACGGCTTTTGGGAGAATCTTCAAAAAAGCCAAACGAATAGAAATCTCTCGGTTACCTTCAGAGCATTGCCCGTTTGATAGACTCCATGAGGCAAAGCTCCACCTATACGCTCCTGAATGTATGTGAAATCAGTACTTGTTTCA